CGCTCCTGGAAACGCCTCGACGGTGCTGGCCGCGCGGGGACGTGTACTCGCTACCCCCTCAAAAACTTGTCGGTGGTTTCGTTGGCCGCCATTACGTCCCGACAAACGTATTCCTGGAAATTTAATGTTGGTGGGGAGATTGTGAGCAACTGAAGCCATGACTCCACGAGCCAAAAAAAACCAGCCTAAGACTTTTGTGTATGGGTGTAGCACTGTCGGCATACAGACCACGCTGTGCATCCAATCGTCTTGTGAACAGCATTCCGGTCAAGCACTCCATCATTTTATCATTCAGATTTCCATAAAGGAGCACTGTTCGTTTGCCTGATCTTAACACACAGAACTATTACACTTTTATCATTAAAGAAACACCCAACAAATCACCAAATTACTGAAGGCAAGCACAGTGATGATGAAGGAGATGTACTGGCTCATCTCCACACTTTTTCCTATTGTGATACAAAATATATTGAAAAAATAATGTAAACAACAGCCTAAATGTTTAAAAGTCACGTAAAATTATAAAAGCAGATGGCAGCCTACAGGAATCAGTGTGGATTAACACCTTGGCAATATTATTTGAGGACCAAAGGCATAATCCAAAACAAAAATTAGTGCTGAAAGCAGGATTCATGTATTTGAGACCCACGTATATAATCGTCAGATAGACACCTCATTTTTTTTATCCTAAATGTCTCTATGGGCCTAACAGATGTGCTTTTTTGGAGCCACGCTGGAAAGCAAAAAGGGGGAAAGAAGGGAAACCTTGACCTTGGCTACTGCAACCATTAGAACTGCATGCTTTTGTTTGGAACCCAGCACAGAAGTCACAGCCTGTATTACGTGCCCAGATGCTTTTATGGTTAATTGGGAGAGCTCATTCGTTCTGGACCAGGCAGCACACACAGCAGGGAGGGAGGTACAGCAAAGCAAAGAAAAAGACTGGGTCCTTGGTCCCAAGGAGCTCCTAGAAGAGTGAAGGCCTGTGAAAGCGGCAATTGGGAAATACTGGAAATGCATTCATGCAATGACGAAGCTGCAGTTGCCAACTATAGGAGAAACAGAAAAGACCCTCCAGTTCTTGGGCAATTACTCATGACCTACTTTCTCCTGCCACCTCTGTCAGACACGCAGAGATTCACCAGAGAACAAATACCTTTTGAATGCAGACAGCATGACCACATTTATGCACACATCCATGAACGGCCTCCGCTCGCTCTTCCAAGAACCAGCACTACTGCTGCTGGTCAACTTATGTAGGTACCTAGACTGCATTAGCTGAAATTGAGCAATGCCATCACTGGGATGATACTGCAAGTACTTCTATCTTCATTTCTTTTAAAAACAAGTCCAAGATTTCAAATAAGAAATTGGGCCTATGAAAAATGAAGATGGAAAAAATAGTTACTGTATTACAGTCACTATATTTAAGGTAGAAAACAGGTAAATGAGCATTTCAAAAGAGGTCCTCAACAGATCAAACCTCACCTCAGATCTAGAACAGCTTAACAGTAACACTTGTACTTGGAAATGCAAAGAAAATGTAATTACAAAGCTGAAAAAATAAGAACTCATCGAGAAGGAAGTAAATCACAACAGACATGTAGAACACACTTAATACCATCAACCGTGAAAGAAATGATGGATTACCTCAATAAAGTCTGAGGAGAAAGAGACAGGACTGTTGGGCATCATTTCAGAATAACATGGAGATGATGTCACGGCTCCCATGGACGGGACGGGAAGGGAAGCTGACGAAGCTTCAGCCCTGAGAATTAAGAGTAAAATCAGCAGCTGAATGTCACGTACATGCACAGTGCTCTGAGAAATCACAGCCCGGCCCCTCACCTCTGTCAGAAGCAGCAACTAATTTCACCAGAGACTAATATATAAGTCCTGAAAGAGCACTGTTAGGTGGAAATGAATGGGCGTAGAAGAGGAGGGAGCATCCAAGAGAAATCCTAAGAGGCATTTTGTTATCAAAAAGTACACGTAAAAAGTAGCAGGGAAGAATGAAAAGAATTTGTGAAAGAAGGCTGTAAATATGCAATAATGAAAGAAAAGGAAATAGCTGGCAAAGACAGATTTCTGATGTATGAGGAAAATGGGTTGAGAGAACCATGATATAAACACAGCCGATACCTGTAAGTGCAAGCCCAGACTTTAACTAGAAACTTTTACATTTTCTTGTCATTTTCCTTGGTCTCTTTTTGACTGTTCTTAGAAAATGCAAGCTTTGCCCCCAGAGAAAAAACAGAGCTGAAAGCTACCCAAAACACTGCTTTCAAAGTGACAGATGTGGCCAAGACATCTCCTATCCCCAGGAGGCATCAGTCGGACACTGGCCGATGGAAGGGAAAAATGCTCGTGAAACTTCAGAACTGAGCTCCCCCAGCTGTGCAGTGCCCATGGGCTCTGTCTCACCCTGCCTCCACAGACACTTGAACTAAAAATGTTACTTTTGTCCAGAAATACCATCTTCAGGGCCTGAACTGGCAGCTGGTGGTTAGCACAGTCTTCAGCTCTCCTGGTGCTGTTGCAAGCTGCTTCAGTACTGTATTACCATTACAGCATGCTCAACACTTAAACCTCTGACCTGCTAAGTAGGAACTTACCCTCAAATCAAAATCATTTTAAATAACAACATAGACAATGTGTAATATAATGTGCATGTATGCATGTTATAGTACAGAGGTTAACCCCAGAAACAATTCCTACAAATGTCCCAGGAAAGTGTCTCACATTCTTGCTGCTGTCACTATTTGCTCTTTTGACTTTATCAAGCCTTTTTAATAAAGAATAAAACCTTCCTTTTCCTCTGCAACAAGGCAATTTCTTCATGAGAGATGACTCAGTTTGGTTAACTAGCCATGGAGGAGGGGAGAGAGTTCACTACTGTTAGTTGTGGGGCTCTGAACATGGGAGCCTGAGGAGTTTTCTTGTCCTACAACTCCGCAATAGTGAGCATAGCCAGAAAGGGAGCAACTGCAAGCAGTCCTCGCTTCAGAAAATCACTATGAAAAGTGATTTTCTGTAACCTTACAATCAGGTTACAATCAATCAAACCAACCTTTTTTTTTTTTTCCCAGACCCAGTGCATTTTCAAGAGATCAGCAATAATATCTGTAATTCAGCTGGCAGATGTTTGGGCACAATTCTACAGGACCGTCTGCAGGAGACAACAGCTTCCTGATTGTTAGTAATCTCTATTCCTTCCGCACCTTTTCCTCAGTTGTCTAGATAGTTCTTCTGCAATCTCAATAATTCCTTGTCCGTATCTGCGTATCCTTGCCTCCTTTTCCCCATCTCTTTCCTAATCGTCTGTAAGAAATCATCATGGGGTTGGCAACTTCCGTCTTCCCCAAACCACCAACAATTTTATATTTCAAAATGCTGGTGCCACGTGGAATGGAAACAGACATAGTCCATTGCATCTCCAGCCCGTCACTGCAGCAGTCAAAGCTAGGTCTTGCTGTAGGAATCTGCCTTCTAAACTACAGAAGCCTTTTATGAGGCCTTTTTCACATCCACTTCATTTCACTGTCTTTAAGAAGAACACAGTCCGTGCTCCTGCTGTTCTTTGCCTGTCCTTGAACTCACCTCACCTTGAATCTAGGCTTCGAAATCTCTTCTTTTATTCTTGAGCCCCACTAGAATGCCTTTTCCACAGATGCTAAAATGGAGCAGTGTTGGTCACATGAACTTCCTTCCCTAATCTTGCAACATTGAAATTGCTCATTATACAGTAATAAAATCAAAAGAAAAATAACAAGATTAGTCTGTGGAAAGCCACAGGACAGACGAAACTGTCAACGATTCACCAGCAGCAGTAGCCCAAGAACCCCCAAAAAATAAAATCATCATGCAAGGATCCTAAGTCCCTTACCTCAATAAAGATAATTAAGAGTTTTCTAACAGATAATGAATTTTACATATAACAGTCAAAAGTCTCTTTTGTCTGAGCAGGTCAGTCATTCCCCATGTATTTTCAATAGCAGCAGTCATTAGTCATTTGTTATGAAGAACAAATTAATTACTCTCCCACTCTATCCTAGCTTGTCCCTCCAAATATCTTTCTAGTTTCATAAAATTTGTCCTCTCTTTGTCTTACAGAGGTGATTTCATAGCCCTGTGATTTCACTGCCTGGGTCAAGTGCACACAAATTATAGAATTAAACAGAAGTTTTTGGTTTCATGTTGTTATATCACTGATCTAGTTTACTATATCAAAGTAGTAACCCTGAATTTAGCTTTGAGATTCATTAGTAAACCACCTTTGAGTTAATAAGTAAGTCATGCTTTTTTCCGGTTAAATAACTTCCGTTGTGTAATTCATAAAAAGAAAATATTGGGTTTGAATTATAAACTCAACATATATCAGTATTTTACATGAGTGGGGGTAGCTGAAAACAGAAGTTTGTTATAGAATAATACTAAGGGAAATTAACATTCCAAAGTAATAGAAAGCTTAATAATCCCTTTTCAGTCATAGGAAAAAATGTTCTTCAGATATATTTTGTTTAGATGCTCATGGCCGGTTTAATTTGACCTCAAGCCAATGAAACACTAGAACTCAGCTAGAATTAAAAAGAAGTATGTACATTTTTTGCAAAAATAAATCAATATGAGTGTAAAGGCCCATCTGGCAATAATATGGCATTAAAATGTGCATCCCATTGCCTGACTTAGTATGTGTATGCGAGCCTTTAATAAGGGCCTCTTGAGTACTTCAACCCTAATAAGAAATCTTCCACAGACATTTTATTTCAAAGGAATCAGGCTAAATGGTACTGAAATTCTACTCCTGCTGTCTGAAAATAGTTTCTGTTTGGTTGTCTCCCTTTAATTTATCCTCAGCTTCAATAAGAACATTTATTTGAGTTGCCGCCCCAGTCTTGTTATTACAGGTGTGATCCAGCCCATTGCTGAGATGCGCTGAGCACTCTTCAGGGGTGCTGAGACCCCACAGATTTCAGCAGATGCTCAGCACCTTTCACTACTGAGAGCTGGGTGAATCCTTTGGGCTATAGTCACAGCTTCTTTCCCAAGCCACCCAATCAGATATGACTTTGCTTCATTCACTCATTTATAATTATAGCTATAAACAGCCCATACGAGCAAAAGATTAATAGTGTTAGCAAGCATTTCCAGGGTATAATCAGCTGTCACCCCATAATTACTCAAAAGATTGAATGAGTGGCTTTGAAATTACAAGGAGAGTTACATTCCTTTACTGAGAGCGAGCAGCAAGACACGAGTGCCCATGAAAAGCCGTGCTAAGTTTCTGTCTGTGGTCCATCCTTTGGCATTTATGACATGATTGCTCCAGCCTCAAGGTCCTATCCTGCACCACAGAAGTCGGTGAGCATCGTAAGAGAATAAATCCTGCTGACCTGGCCTTAAACCAGACGCTTCAGACCTCCGTCACTGCTTCTGGTGGACACAAAGGTCTGATCCCCATTGCTTTCATTGCGTTCATTTTTATGTGATTTATATAGGCACAAGAAACAGAGAATTAAATCCTGCAGAGTGTATCTTGTAAACCCTGCTGATCAGGGTTGATCTTGTAAAAATTTCAGTCCCATCACCCAATAAACTATAAAATGCCTCCCAGAGCCTCAAATGAGAGGTGTTGAAACGGACAATTAATCATAATGACTAATTTAAAGGCTTGCTTTTGTTATAGTTTAGGGATGCAGAAAAGAATATAATGGAAAAGGAACAGATATTCAAGAAAACTGGCTGAAAGAAAAGTAATTTTAAATATTTACTTTGGGATTAATAGCAACTAGTGGAAAAATGTATTTATGAAATTGTCTGAAGCTAGGAGTTTATGTGAATATTCGTGTCTATGTCCACAAACCATCGTAATGTAAAAAATGTTCCTCTGAAGTAAGGCTGTTCCTCTGAACAGGCTGAAACGTGTCACGCGTATGACCAATAGAGGAGGGGAGGTCGGTATGTGTTTTACAATAGTTACCCTAAAGCCTACTTTTTTTGTGATTTCAGAAGCCCAGTGGAGACTCCTAGAGTGGCAATTTGGGAAAACCGCTGGAGCAGAGAAGCATGTCCCACAAGTATTCCCCTACGGGAAGACATCAGATTTCATATTCTCTGTTACTGGAATGGTTTTGGTCAAAGCTTCTGTTCCTGCCCCTGCTCTGGGAGTTTTATGACTGTTCTGCCTGTCCACAATGATCTCATTCTCTCCAGCTGACTTGGAGAAGGTAAACAGAAACTGCTGTCTGACAAAACCTAATTTTGACAGGTAGGTCTTTTTAGTAATTCAGCTTGATTTATGACAAAATTGCCATTAAATTAGAGTTATTTCCTACTTCCTGTATGATCTAAATGAGGAATCCCAGATGGCCCCAGAACAACTTCTGGCAGCATTTCCGGAGCACTGGATTTGAGAGAGAAAGGAAGGAGATGGGCTGGCCATTATTTTGCTGCTGCTAAAGTCTCCTTGCACAGAGCCTTCCACCTTCCACTTTTCAGCAGGCATTGTGTGAAAGAGAGACCACAGGAAAGGTGAGGAAAAGCTAAGAGCCACAGATCTTACTTAATTTAGTGCCTCTCTGGTTGGTCAAAACATTATATGGTTTTGCAATACCTAACTATTTTGCCTCTTGACAAGAAAACCTTTCACAGGGAAAAAGAGGTGGCAGCCAATAAAAACAAGGCGTGGAAAGTAAAAGTACTATCTTTAAATGAACAGTTAAATACAGTTACCAAGAAACTTGAGGTTGTGAGCAGTGTCCCTGACAC